TACAGAGAACCTTCACGGCGCGCATAACGGAGATAAAACACCTCAATTACTGGGAGCGCTTGAGGTTCCTAAACCTGTATTCCCTGGAATGCAGGCGGGAGAGATACATGATTATATACACCTGGAAAATCCTAGAGGGACTAGTACCGAACTTGTACACAAAAATCACTCACTACGAAAGCAAAAGACTTGGCAGACGATGCAACATCCCCCCAATGAAAAGGAGGGGTGTCACTAGCACGTTAAGAGACCATACAATAAGTGTCATGGGCCCCGAGACTGTTCAACTGCCTCCCAGCACACATAAGGGGGAATACCAACAGACCCCTGGCAGTCTTCAAGCTGGCACTGGACAAGCACCTAAAGTCGGTTCCTGACCAGCCAAGCTGTGGCTCGTACGTTGGTTTGCGTGCAGCCAGCAGTAACAGCCTGGTTGATCAGGCTCTGATCCACCAGGAGGCCTGGTCACAGACCAGGCCGCGGGGGCGTGACCCCCGGAACTCTCTCCAGGTAAACCATTATAGTATGTTCCTCACTTAGCGATGAATTCGTTTAATGGTGTGGCCTTACGAACAGAACTCCGTCGTTAAGTGAGGAGAGGCTGTAATTATTATGTATACTAGGATTAGTCTGCCTGAAATCCCCCAGCAAATAAACAAAGCTTTTATTCTTTTATTCTATTATACAAATACAGTGGACCCCCGCATAACGTTATTATTTCAATCCAGAAGTCTGTTTGGGTGCCATTATAGACCAAATTTGTTCCCATAAGAAATAGTGTGAATTAGATTAGTCCGTTTCAGACCCCCAAAAATACACCTACAAAAGCACTTACAAAAATACACTTACATAATTGGTCGAGTTGGGAGCTGATCGTTATGCAGGGGTCCACTGTACATGGGTAAGCAGGAACTCGTGTGAATAAGCAGGTAGTGATACAGGTACAATAGATACAAATGTAGTTAGCAAGAGAAGTGAGAACATAGGCAAGAATACAAGTACAGTGGTACCTCAAATTTCGGCTGAAATTCGTTCCAGAAGGCTGTTCGAGTGCCGTTTCCAAACGAATCTGTTCCCATAAGGAATAATGTAAATTAGATAAGTCTGTTTCAGACCACCAAAAATACACTTACATAACTGTTCGAGCTGGGAACTGTTAGAAATTTGAGGTACCACTGTAGAAGGGATAAGACAATACCAAAATGTTTGCCGATATTAATGATCAGTTTCAGGCCGGTACCAATACCATCAGAACTACCTGATACCCGTGCCTTGGCACGTCCCTAATAAGTAGGTAAGCAGGCAGAGAGGGACACAGGAAAGCAGGCAAATAAGACAGATGAGTAGGTACAGACAAGAGATCTAATAATAATAATAATAATCAGGCAAGAGAAATAATAATAATGATATTAATAACCCCCCCAAACACAAACGGGGCTAACTACCGGTACTGAACAATGTCAACATCCATAATGAGGGCGGTCGATGTGCTTGTCAGTGGCTCAGTGACTGCTTCGACGATGGCCAGTGACAGGTCAAAATTTCTGTTTGAAAACTGCTAACAAAGATTTTAAGATTACAGTTAGGCCTTTTATAACTTGTGTACAGTTGGGCCTTTTATGAAACTTCTGTACAGTTAGGCCTTTTATAACTTCTGTTCAGTTAGGCCTTTTATAACTTCTGTACAGCTAGGCCTTTTATAACTTCTGTACAGTTAGGCCTTTTATAACTTCTGTACAATTAGGTCTTTTATAACTTTGTGCAGTTAGGCCTTTTATAACTTCTGTAGTCAGGCCTTTTATAAAAATTCTGTAGTCAAGCTTTTCATAACTTCTGTAGTCAGGCCTTTTATAAATTCTGTAGTCAGGCCTTTTATAAAAATTCTGTAGTCAGGCCTTTTATAAATTCTGTAGTCAGGCCTTTTATAACTTCTGCAATCAGGCCTTTTATAACTTCTGTAGTCAGGCCTTTCATAACTTCTGTAGTCAGGCCTTTTATAAATTCTGTAGTCAGGCCTTTTATAAAAATTCTGTAGTCAGGCCTTTTATAACTTCTGTAGTCAGGCCTTTTATAACTTCTGTAGTCAGGCCTTTTATAAAAATTCTGTAGTCAGGCCTTTCATAACTTTTGTAGTCAGGCCTTTTATAACTTCTGTAGTCAGGCCTTTTATAACTTCTGTAGTCAGGCCTTTTATAACTTCTGTAGTCAGGCCTTTTATAACTTCTGTAGTCAGGCCTTTTATAAAAATTCTGTAGTCAGGCCTTTTATAAAAATTCTGTAGTCAGGCCTTTTATAACTTCTGTAGTCAGGCCTTTTATAACTTCTGTAGTCAGGCCTTTTATAAAAATTCTGTAGTCAGGCCTTTCATAACTTTTGTAGTCAGGCCTTTTATAACTTCTGTAGTCAGGCCTTTTATAAAAATTCTGTAGTCAGGCCTTTCATAACTTTTGTAGTCAGGCCTTTTATAAAACTCTTCTGTCTTGTGTTTTCATGAAAGAAATTGAAAAACTGCATCCAAAATTGATCAGCCCATAGTATTAAAGGCCTTCTCATAAGGTGTTAAAGAGAAGAACTTGACACAAGAATTGAGTGTTCATGGAGGTACCAGTTGAGTGTATGTTTGCTGCCACCGTGGTTGAATACACTGAGAGCAACGTCAACTTAGCGGTGCTTGTGTTCAGGAGCGTATCCCAACTATTGTTCTGTGGGTTATCTGTAAGCACAATGGACAGGTTTAGATAAGAAAAAGATACCTAGTTACGACCCACTGGCTGATATCCAGACACGGAAGCAGTGTTCAAACGACTGTCCTGTCCACTGTCTGTCTACCTAGAGACTATCTGGATTCCACCTGGAGTCAACTTGGAGTCTAACTGGAGTCTACATTGAACTAAGCCCCGGAACACCTGGAGGATGCTCCGGGGGTAGATGCCCCCTCATGGCCCGGTCCACGACTAGGCCTCGACCCCCTAGTGTGGAAATAAGAATAGAGGAGCACTACAGTAAGCCTACTGGCCTATACTATGCACATTCTTCTCAAATTCAACTCTCAAGAACATAAAAGACAAATGAATACAATGAACTTCTCTATAAAGTGCAAATTCTCTGTGAATAACAAAAAAAGGCACAATACCGTGACTGGAACGATACACAAATAACCCGCACATAGAAGAGAGGAGCTTACGACGACGTTTCGGTCCAACTTGGACTTTGCAAATGGTCCAAGTTGGACCGAAACGTCGTCGTAAGCTCCTCTCTTTTATGTGTGGGTTATTTGTGTATCTTTGTGAACGAGATTGAAAAATTATAGATCCCAAATTGAATAAGGTGTAGAATACCCTTCAATGTTTGTGCTATTCAATTTTTAATGCATTTTTTGAACCACATCTATGAAAAAAACACTAAAAACAGGAGATTTATAAGAGTGAAGGTACTGGTGGCCTGGTTGATAGTGTCCTCAGCTCTCACACACAGTGTCCAGGATCAATCCTGGGCACGGGTGAAATGCTGGGTGTGTTTCCTTACACCTGCTGTCACTGTTCTCCTAGCAGTAAGTAGGTACCTGGGTGTTAGTTCCCTTACACCTGCTGTCACTGTTCACCTAGCAGTAAGTAGGTACCTGGGTGTTAGTTCCCTTACACCTGCTGTCACTGTTCACCTAGCAGTAAGTAGGTACCTGGGTGTTAGTTCCCTTACACCTGCTGTCACTTTTCACCTAGCAGTAAGTAGGTACCTGGGTGTTAGTTCCCTTATACCTGCTGTCACTTTTCACCTAGCAGTAAGCAGGTACCTGGGTGTGTTTCCTTACACCTGCTGTCACTGTTCACCTAGCAGTAAGTAGGTACCTGGGTGTTAGTTCCCTTACACCTGCTGTCACTGTTCACCTAGCAGTAAGTAGGTACCTGGGTGTTAGTTACCTTACACCTGCTGTCACTTTTCACCTAGCAGTAAGCAGGTACCTGGTTGTTAGTTCCCTTACACCTGCTGTCACTTTTTACCTAGCAGTAAGTAGGTACCTGGGTGTTAGTTACCTTACACCTGCTGTCACTTTTCACCTAGCAGTAAGTAGGTACCTGGGTGTTAGTTACCTTACACCTGCTGTCACTTTTCACCTAGCAGTAAGTAGGTACCTGGGTGTTAGTTACCTTACACCTGCTGTCACTGTTCACCTAGCAGTAAGTAGGTACCTGGGTGTTAGTTCCCTTACACCTGCTGTCACTGTTCACCTAGCAGTAAGTAGGTACCTGGGTGTTAGTTACCTTACACCTGCTGTCACTTTTCACCTAGCAGTAAGCAGGTACCTGGTTGTTAGTTCCCTTACACCTGCTGTCACTTTTACCTAGCATAAGTAGGTACCTGGGTGTTAGTTACCTTACACCTGCTGTCACTTTTCACCTAGCAGTAAGTAGGTACCTGGGTGTTAGTTACCTTACACCTGCTGTCACTTTTCACCTAGCAGTAAGTAGGTACCTGGGGTTAGTTACTTACACCTGCTGTCACTGTTCACCTAGCAGTAAGTAGGTACCTGGGTGTTAGTTACCTTACACCTGCTGTCACTTTTCACCTAGCAGTAAGTAGGTACCTGGGTGTTAGTTACCTTACACCTGCTGTCACTTTTCACCTAGCAGTAAGTAGGTACCTGAGTGTTAGTTCCCTTACACCTGCTGTCACTTTTCACCTAGCAATAAGTAGGTACCTGGGTGTTAGTTACCTTACACCTGTTGTCACTGTTCACCTAGCAGTAAGTAGGTACCTGGGTGTTAGTTACCTTACACCTGCTGTCACTGTTCACCTAGCAGTAAGTAGGTACCAGGGTGTTAGTTGTTCACCTAGCAGTAAGTAGGTACCTGGGTGTTAGTTGTTCACCTAGCAGTAAATAGGTTATGTAATCACCTATTTGTGGTCATGGAGGTTGAGTCACAGCTCCTGGCCCTACCTCTACCTCTGTACTTAGTCTTAGGATGACAAAGGAAAAAAAAAATGTGTGAGGGTCCACTTACTTGCGTATTTTTTGTGTGGGGTCGAAGACGGTTTTACGTTGTTGTGTTTTCTGGACCATTTCTTTGTAGCATTTGGAGCAGTGGCCGTCCCAGGCCGGGTTCCCATAGTATCCGCAACCCGTACGGCACATCAGCTCTGACTCATTGATGTGCAGCCGCGCCCCCGTCCAGGCCGAGTTTGAAGACATGGTTAAATGGTCTAAAATAAATGGGTGTTAGTTCGAAGACATGGTTAAATGGTCTAAAATAAATGGGTGTTAGTTCAAAGACATGGTTAAATGGTCTAAAATAAATGGGTGTTAGTTCGAAGACATGGTTAAATGGTCTAAATGGGTGTTAGTTCGAAGACATGGTTAAATGGTCTAAAATAAATGGGTGTTAGTTCGAAGACATGGTTAAATGGTCTAAAATAAATGGGTGTTAGTTCGAAGACATGGTTAAAAGGTCTAAAATAAATGGCTACATATTTTACACAATAATCATTGCCTATAATTCCACAAATCAACATCAATCATAAAAATTCAGAGAATTATCACAAGTCATTTGTCATCGAACTTAGAATTTGTTCTCGTCTTCATAACTGTCACAACACTTAGGGGTTGCTGCGTGGCCCTTGTGGGTTTAGTGCTTACTTTTAATTACAATAATAATAATTATAATAATAGTAATAATAATAATTAGTAATGAGCAAGAAGAAAGAAAGAAGAGGAAAGAGGAAGAAAGAAGAAATAAGAAAGAAATAAGAAGAAAGAAGAAGAAATAATAATAATAATAATAATAATAATAATAAATAATAAATAATAATAATAATAATAATAAATAATAATAATAATAATAATAATAATAATAATAATAATAAGAGTAATAATAATAATAATAATATAATAGTAATAATAATTATTATTATAATCAAGGGGAAGCGCTAAACCCGGAGGATTATACAGAATAATAATAATAATAATAATAATAATAATAGAGCTTTTCCATGTTTTCTTTTTTTTTTTATTATCACACTGGCCGATTCCCACCAAGGCAGGGTGGCCCGAAAAAGAAAAACTTTCACCATCATTCACTCCATCACTGTCTTGCCAGAAGGTGCTTTACACTACAGTTTTTAAACTGCAACATTAACACCCCTCCTTCAGAGTGCAGGCACTGTACTTCCCATCTCCAGGACTCAAGTCCGGCCTGCCGGTTTCCCTGAACCCCTTCATAAATGTTACTTTGCTCACACTCCAACAGCACGTCAAGTATTAAAAACCATTTGTCTCCATTCACTCCTATCAAACACGCTCACGCATGCCTGCTGGAAGTCCAAGCCCCTCGCACACAAAACCTCCTTTACCCCCTCCCTCCAACCTTTCCTAGGCCGACCCCTACCCCGCCTTCCTTCCACTACAGACTGATACACTCTTGAAGTCATTCTGTTTCGCTCCATTCTCTCTAGATGTCCGAACCACCTCAACAACCCTTCCTCAGCCCTCTGGACAACAGTTTTGGTAATCCCGCACCTCCTCCTAACTTCCAAACTACGAATTCTCTGCATTATATTCACACCACACATTGCTCTCAGACATGACATCTCCACTGCCTCCAGCCTTCTCCTCACTGCAACATTCATCACCCACGCTTCACACCCATATAAGAGCGTTGGTAAAACTATACTCTCATACATTCCCCTCTTTGCCTCCAAGGACAAAGTTCTTTGTCTCCACAGACTCCTAAGTGCACCACTACACCCTTTTCCCCTCATCAATTCTATGATTCACCTCATCTTTCATAGACCATCCGCTGACACGTCCACTCCCAAATATCTGAATACATTCACCTCCTCCATACTCTCTCCCTCCAATCTGATATCCAATCTTTCATCACCTAATCTTTTGTTATCCTCATAACCTTACTCTTTCCTGTATTCACTTTTAATTTTCTTCTTTTGCACACCCTACCAAATTCATCCACCAATCTCTGCAACTTCTCTTCAGAATCTCCCAAGAGCACAGTGTCATCAGCAAAGAGCAACTGTGACAACTCCCACTTTATGTGTGATTCTTTATCTTTTAACTCCACACCTCTTGCCAAGACCCTCGCATTTACTTCTCTTACAACCCCATCTATAAATATATTAAACAACCACGGTGACATCACACATCCTTGTCTAAGGCCTACTTTTACTGGGAAATAATTTCCCTCTTTCCTACATACTCTAACTTGAGTCTCACTATCCTCGTAAAAACTCTTCACTGCTTTCAGTAACCTACCTCCTACACCATACACCTGCAACATCTGCCACATTGCCCCCCTATCCACCCTGTCATATGCCTTTTCCAAATCTAAATACTGTTCACTGATATGTTTCACTGTAAACACCTGGTCCACACACCCCCTACCTTTCCTAAAGCCTCCTTGTTCATCTGCTATCCTATTCTCCATCTTACTCTTAATTCTTTCAATAATAACTCTACCATACACTTTGCCAGGTATACTCAACAGACTTATCCCCCTATAATTTTTGCACTCTCTTTTATCCCCTTTGCCTTTATACAAAGGAACTATGCATGCTCTCTGCCAATCCCTAGGTACCTTACCCTCTTCCATACATTTATTAAATAATTGCACCAACCACTCCAAAACTATATCCCCACCTGCTTTTAACATTTCTATCTTTATCCCATCAATCCCGGCTGCCTTACCCCCTTTCATTTTACCTACTGCCTCACGAACTTCCCCCACACTCACAACTGGCTCTTCCTCACTCCTACAAGATGTTGTTCCTCCTTGCCCTATACACGAAATCACAGCTTCCCTATCTTCATCAACATTTAACAATTCCTCAAAATATTCCCTCCATCTTCCCAATACCTCTAACTCTCCATTTAATAACTCTCCTCTCCTATTTTTAACTGACAAATCCATTTGTTCTCTAGGCTTTCTTAACTTGTTAATCTCACTCCAAAACTTTTTCTTATTTTCAACAAAATTTGTTGATAACATCTCACCCACTCTCTCATTTGCTCTCTTTTTACATTGCTTCACCACTCTCTTAACTTCTCTCTTTTTCTCCATATACTCTTCCCTCCTTGCATCACTTCTACTTTGTAAAAACTTCTCATATGCTAACTTTTTCTCCCTTACTACTCTCTTTACATCATCATTCCACCAATCGCTCCTCTTCCTCCTACCACTTCCTACACACTTTGCGAACACTCTAACACTACATTTTTAAACCTACCCATACTTCGACCCATTGCTATGCACTCGTTAAAGACCATGGAAAAATCACTCTGTCTGACTTTTTTGGATACCAGTTCTCTACACATATGCTCTATTAGACATTCTAGTACTGTATTTGTTATACCTGATAAACTTACTTACTTAGCCCATCTATCCTCCAATAGCTGTTTATATCTTACCCTAACTGCCTCCTCTTTTAGTTTATAAACCTTCACCTCTCTCTTCCCTGATGCTTCTATTCTCCTTGTATCCCATCTACCTTTTACTCTCAGTGTAGCTACTTTTTCTCCCTTACTTCTCTTCTCTTCTCTTCTCTCTTCTCTACACATGTATGAATCATAATTATAATTAAGCACTAAACCCATAAGGGTCAGAATGACATATAAAGTAATACAATTTAAAGCCACAGAAAACTTTACTTATGGAGATTATTATTATTATAGTCAAAAAGAAGCGCTAAACCACAAGGGCTATACAGCGCTTATGGAGAATAACTCAATAAAATCAAGCAAATGTAACACTAACACTGGAAGGTGTGATCCATGGATCACTCCATTCCCCTGGATCAAAAGCTCTCACCAGCATCAAGGAACTACTCATTTAAAGGCAAATTGACTTAAAAAAATCTTCAAAAAGTAGTCAGGGAAAATCCTTACGTTAAAAAATCGCGGATTTCACTGAATTACGAGACGAATTGGATATATATGGCGCCTCTAGGTGACTCTCAGCAACCCTGAGGTGTTCCAGGGTGATAATTCACCTAAATTGAGCTGAGACAAGGACGCTGAGGTGAAATAATTAGGTGAAAATAGAGGGAGTTATGACTGAGTCAGCTGAGTTTGTTGTTGTTGGCGGCCATCTTGACAATCGTCTCTGGCGCCCAAACTATCGTTTCACTATTTTTTCGTTATTTTACCCCCAAAAAGCATTAATCCCCCAATTACCATATTATACACTATGAAAAACTACTCAGTAAATCCATATATATATCAAATATAACTCAAAAGCTATATTATTATGAGTATTTACTTAATTTGACACTGGCCAATAAAATGATATTATCACATTTTCCTATAACTAGCTACTGAAATTATATAATAAAGTAAAATGTCCTCATTATCGCTGTCTTTATTATGAGGGTGTATAATAAAGAAGACAGGCATTAAGCGGAGAAACAGGATTGGAGAGATAGGAATTATCATACCCTGGTGTGTGCCATAACAGTGGGACCCCCTCAATAGTGCTATTATCACCTCAATGGCACCATTGACGGCACCACCATGACTGCCCAAGTGCCAACCATTTCCTCAATGAAAGACGTATTCATTCAGTATTCACTCACTTCCTTCATACCCACAATAAACATCAATGAAAATAAGACGATATTTGATACTTTGACCCCAGTGGAAATCCCAAGGACCCTAATGGAAATTCCAAGGACCCTAATGGAAATTCCAGGGACCCTAATGGAAATTCCAAGGACCCTAATGGAAATTCCAGGGACCCTAATGGAAATTCCAAGGACCCTAATGGAAATTCCAGGGACCCTAATGGAAATTCCAAGGACCCTAATGGAAATTCCAGGGACCCTAATGGAAATTCCATGGACCCTAATTGAAATTCCAAGGACCCTAATGGAAATTCCAAGGACCCTAATGGAAATTCCAAGGGCCCTAATGGAAATTCCAGGGACCCTAATGGAAATTCCAAGGACCCTAATGGAAATTCCAAGGACCCTAATGGAAATTCCAGGGACCCTAATGGAAATTCCAAGGACCCTAATGGAAATTCCAGGGACCCTAATGGAAATTCCAAGGGCCCTAATTGAAATTCCAAGGACCCTAATGGAAATTCCAAGGACCCTAATGGAAATTCCAGGGACCCTAATGGAAATTCCAAGGACCCTAATGGAAATTCCAGGGACCCTAATGGAAATTCCAAGGACCCTAATGGAAATTCCAAGAACCCTAATGGAAATTCCAAGGACCCTAATGGAAATTCCAGGGACCCTAATGGAAATTCCAAGGACCATAATGGAAATTCCAAGGATCCTAATGGAAATTCCAAGGACCCTAATTGAAACTCCAAGGACCCTAATGGAAATTCCAAGGACCCTAATGGAAATTCCAAGGACCCCAATGGAAATTCCAGGGACCCTAATGGTAATTCCAGGGACCCTAATTGAAATTCCAAGGACCCTAATGGAAATTCCAAGGACCCTAATGGAAATTCCAAGGACCCTAATGGAAATTCCAGGGACCCTAATGGAAATTCCAAGGACCCTAATGGAAATTCCAGGGACCCTAATGGAAATTCCAAGGACCCTAATGGAAATTCCAAGGACCCTAATGGAAATTCCAAGGACCCTAGTGGAAATTCCAGGGACCCTAATGGAAATTCCAAGGACCATAATGGAAATTCCAAGGATCCTAATGGAAATTCCAAGGACCCTAATTGAAATTCCAAGGACCCTAATGGAAATTCCAAGGACCCTAATGGAAATTCCAAGGACCCCAATGGAAATTCCAGGGACCCTAATGGTAATTCCAGGGACCCTAATTGAAATTCCAAGGACCCTAATGGAAATTCCAAGGACCCTAATGGAAATTCCAGGGACCCTAATGGAAATTCTGAGGACCCTAATGGAAATTCCAAGGACCCTAATGGAAATTCCAGGGACCCTAATGGAAATTCCAAGGACCCTAATGGAAATTCCAGGGACCCTAATGGAAATTCCAAGGACCATAATGGAAATTCCAAGGACCCTAATGGTAATTCCAAGGACCCTAATGGAAATCCCAAGGACCCTAATGGAAATTCCAAGGACCCTAATGGAAATCCCAAGGACTCTAATGGAAATTCCAAGGACCCTAATGGAAATCCCAAGGACCCTAATGGAAATTCCAAGGACCCCAATGGGCATTCCAAGGACCCCAATGGGCATCTCAAGGACCCCAGTGAAATATATCACAGAGCAGTCTCAACCCCTGCCAGTTTGGTTTTGCAAGAAACAAAAGCACAAATGATGCAATTATAAAAATCCTAGACCACTTTACAAAGCACTTGAAAAAAAAAATGAATATCCACTATCCTGTATTGCCCCAAGGAAAGCTTCTGATACAGTAGACCACAGTATCCTACTCGACAAACTTGATCATTATGGTATCAGAGGCCATGCACTTATATATGGTACCTTACTAACAGACAGCATTATGTCTTTATTAAACCCTGGTATGGTTTGTTTGCAATCGTGTCATTACGATTTCATGATTCATGTCTTTATTAAGGACACAACCTCCTCAACAAGACCTCTGGACATTGGTGTTCCACAGGAAAGCATCCTTGGCCCCCTACTTTTCCTTTTATACATCAATGACCTTCCAAATGTATCACAACACTTAGACCTATTCTATTTGCTGATGACCCATCTTTCGTCATCTCCCACCCAAATCTAGCATCACTCAACAACATTGTTTATGAAGAGCTCATGAAAATACCAGCCTGGATGACTACCAATAAACTTACACTTAACATTGACAAACCTTCTATATTATGTTTGTGAACACAGCAAGTGATGTCCAACTAAACACTGTGATTAACAATACAGTGGACCCCCGGTTTACGATATTATTTCATTCCAGAAGTACGTTCAGGTGCCAGTACTGAACGAATTTGTTCCCATAAGGAATATTGTGAATCAGATTAGTCCATTTCAGACCCCCAAACATACACTTACAAATGCACTTACATAAATACACTTACATAATTAGTCGCATTGGGAGGTGATCATAAAGTGGGGGTCCACTGTACTCTTATTGCTAAACATAACCAGGAAAAATTTCTGGGTCTGCACCTTGGCAAAACTTGAAATTCAACACCAATATCCACCACATAACAAAAAAAGTGTCCAAAACAGCTGACATCCTTTCAAAGATACATTATTATATACCACAAACAGCACTACTTTTTTTTTCTTTTTTTTTCAAAAGTCGGCCGTCTCCCACCGAGGCAGGGTGACCCAAAATGAAAGAAAATCCCCAAAAAGAAAATACTTTCATCATCATTCAACACTTTCACCTCACTCACACATAATCACTGTTTTTGTAGAGGTGCTCGGAACACAACAGTTTAGAAGCATATACGTATAAAGATACACAACATATCCCTCCAAACTGCATTATATTATTCAGTGATCTACCCCCCTACTTCCCTACTTCACCTACACAATTTATGCCTGGGGATCTACAACAGCAAATTAAGCCAATAATAACTCAACAAAAAGCTACAGTACAAATGAATGATGACACAGTCCACAGCTAGACAACACCCCCTCCCCCTCTCCAAACATTCACTCTTCTACTGAGCAACCTTCATTTACAGAACAATAAATTATAATAGCAATCCTGACCTGAAGTATTTCCTCAATAGTTGCAACAGAACCCAAAGACATAATACAAAACACAAAAATCTCTATGATATGTCCTGTGACCAGCTAAATCTCTGTAAAAATTCAATGTACATGACTCAAGAAATCGTAATGACACGATTGCAAACAAACCATACCCCCGGCTGGGATTCGTCTGTAAAAACTTGCATTTGTGGTCACAGTGGTGCCTGTGCTAACCTTCCTATGGTGTAGAAATATACCTAGTTGGATGAATCTTATTGTGGCTAGCTGGTCTAGTGGCTAACGCGACGGGCTGGAGTTTTGAGACTCTATGACCGCGGGTTCAATCCCGGCCGGGGGGTATGGTTTCAATGTACATAACAGAACTCAAAATCTGGAATTCTGTTGGAAATCTCCAGAGCCACTGTGGCTTCAAAACTATCATTAAATGATAGCTTCAAAACTATCACTAGCTTCAAAACTATCATTAAAAAAACCTTCTCTCGCTAACATACATCCGCCAAATATGTGAAAATTATACATCTATATTCTGATTGTCGCTAACATATGGTAAAAACATAATCTTATTCTCAATATGTGTAATCCTCACAACATTAAAACATTGATTGTGTTTCCATTATATTAATGTCTAGTTTTAGAAGGCCTGGGTCATCATCTAAGACCTGCGTCGGGACACAATTGATCTGTTTCCTGATTGACCTTACTTAACCTAGTGTGTAAGAAGTTGTATTTGTGCCAGAAATACTCAGGCATGTTAGTGGCTTTACTTATAATTAACAATATACTTTAAAAACATGTCAACCACACATTGCAATCTTTCCAAAGAAATAAAAATTTTAATTTTAATTTTAAAAAATACATTTTTTAGTGCAGTGAAGAAGAGATATACACAACTCAATGCATTACTTCTGCTTTCATTGCATATACTCTCTTCAAATACAAACTGATGATGAATACATATATTCATAATGTCAGTGAAGAAAGGGAGGCAGTAATTTCATGCACTGGCCAGGGAGGTATACCACCTTTTAGGAGTGAAGAAGAACAGGATGTGAGTGTGGGAGAGGTACGTGAGGCATTACATAGAATGAAAGGGGGTAAATCAGCTGGAACTGACAGGATCATGACAGAAATGTTAAAAGCAGGGGGGGGGGGGTTACAGTGTTGGAGTGGTTGGTATTTTTGTTTAATAAATGTATGAAAGAATGAAAGAGGGGAAGGTACCTAGGGATTGGCAGAGAGCATGTATAGTCCCTTTATATAAAGGGAAGGGGACAAAAGAGATTGTAAAAATTATAGAGGAATAAGTTTACTGAGTATACCAAGAAAAGTGTACGGTAGTGTTATTATTGAAAGAATTAGAGGTAAGACAGAATGTAGGATTGTGGATGAGCAAGGAGGCTTCAGAGTGGGTAGGGGATGTGTAGATCAAGTGTTTACATTGAAACATATATGTGAACAGTATTTAGATAAAGGTAGGGAAGTTTTTATTGCATTTATGGATTTAGAAAAGGCATATGATAGAGTGGATAGGGGAGCAATGTGGCAGATGTTGCAAGTATATGGAATAGGTGGTAAGTTACTAAATGCTGCTAAGAGTTTTTATGAGGATAGTGAGGCTCAGGTTAGGGTATGTAGAAGAGAGGGAGACTACTTCCCGGTAAAAGTAGGTCTTAGACAGGGATGTGTAATGTCACCATGGTTGTTTAATATATTTATAGATGGGGCTGTAAAAGAAGTAAATGCTAGGGTGTTCGGGAGAGGGGTGGGATTAAATTATGGGGAATTAAATACAAAATGGGAAGTGACACAGTTACTTTTCGCTGATGATACTGTGCTTATGGGAGATTCTAAAGAAAAATTGCAGAGGTTAGTGGATGAATGTGGGAGTGTGTGTGTAAAGGTAGAAAGTTGAAAGTGAACATAGAAAAGAGTAAGGTAATGAGGGTGTCAAATGATTTAGATAAAGAAAAACTGGATATCAAATTGGGGAGGAGGACTATGGAAGAAGTGAATGTTTTCAGATACGTATTTGGAAGTTGACGTGTCAGCGGATGGATTTATGAAGGATAAGGTTAATCATAGAATTGATGAAGGAAAAAAGGCGAGTGGTGCGATGAGGTACATGTGGAGACAAAAAATGTTATCTATGGAGTCAAAGAAGGGACTGTATGAAAGTATAGAAGTACCAACACTCTTATATGGGTGTGAAGCTTGGGTTGTGAATGGAGCAGGGAGGAGGTGGTTGGAGGCAGTGGAGATGTCCTGTCTAAGGGCAATGTGTGGTGTAAATATTAAGCAGAAAATTCAGAGTGTGGAAATTAGGAAAAGTATTAGTCAGAGGGCTGAAGAGGGGTTGTTGAGGTGGTTTGGTCATTTAGAGAGAATGGATCAAAGTAGAATAAATACAAATACCAACAACAACAATAATAATAATAATAATAATAATAATAATAGTAATAATAATAATAATAAAATAATCACTAATTGTCCTGTTATAACTCTTACAAGTTTAATGCTCTAATTCAAAACAAAAAACTCATTTTTGATCAACAAAAAGGACTTGACTTAAAGTGTACAAGGTCCTAGGAATCAACCAAAGTTCTATGGGACTTCTGTCTTTGATGTTGACTTTGATCTTGGTAGCTGGGAGGCCTAGACTTGGAGGTAGCATGAACATGGTAGCTGGGAGGCCTAGACTTGGAGGTAGCATAATGATGGTAATAGATGTTGTGAATAGTGATGGTGACAGATGTCACGAATAGTGATGGTGACAGATGTGGTGAATAGTGATAGTGAAAGATGTAATGTATAATGATAGATGTAGTGAATAGTGATGGTGATATATGTGGTGACACTGGGAGATGAACAAGTCTTGGTGTTTGTACACTTTCATGTAAAAACAATAATAATAATAGTAATAATAATAATATAATAATAATAATAATAATAATAGTAATCATTAATAACTGTCCTCTTATAACTCTTACGAGTTTAATGCTCTGATACAAAAAAAAAAACTCATTATTGACCAACAAAAAGGACTTGACTTAAAGTGTACAAGGTCCTAGGAATCAACCAAAGTTCTATGGGACTTGTGTCTTTGATGTTGACTTTGATCTTGGTAGCTGGGAGGCCTAGACTTGGAGGTAGCATGAACTTGGTAGCTGGGAGGCCTAGACTTGGAGGTAGCATGAACATGGTAGCTGGGAGACCTAGACTTGGAGGTAGCATAAACATGGTAGCTGGGAAGTCTAGCCTTGGTGGGAGCAGCAATGGTGTTCACACTACCCAATACCCTTTAGTATTATAATGCTTTAAAACACATTTCTTATTACCCAGAATTTGTGGTTTTCCATGTTGTTGTGCATTCTGGACTGGTGGTTTTACTTTGGGTTTTCCATCATCAATTAATACTTGCTTGTATGCTGGCTCAACTACCATTTTCTGTGGGGTCTCACCTCTTGGACCAGTCAACACATGGCCGTTCAGCATCAGTGCTCGTCTTTCGTAATCCTTATTTTTAAAAATTGCAAAGCCATATCTACGATGACCTCTGCGTCTTCGTGGCATTATGAATTTGATTAAACCGCCGGATTTTTTCAGAAGCTGTTTTACAGTCCTGTACCTGCACAAAGTGGGTACATGGCTACAAAAACTCCATACCTGTAGGGTTGGGGATGTGGGTTTGGGGATGGTTATGGGTTTGGGGATGGTGATGGGTTTGGGGATGGTGATGGGGTTGGGGAGGGTATTGGGGTTGGGGAGGGGTGTTGAGCTACCAGCATCATCAGTGGTAGCAGGTACTAACTCACCACTCACCACTGTGTCACTGGTGCTGGTATGTGTAAGTGACTTGAGAAGTCTGGTACGGAAGAATCGCCAGGTGTAGTACAACACTCCTAACACTGTCACAACAACCCACAGATGAACCAGCATCACTTGGAGGATGAATTATCCTGGCAGGATTCTTTCATCTCCTTGAGGAGAATCTCCAGCTCCTCAACATCCTTGCTGGCTTGGTACAATCTAAAGATGATTCCCAGAAGAGGCCAGGAGCTTGGTGCCCACCAAGGGCTCACCTGCCTTCCAGGGAGATATAAGGGGGTATAATTATCACAATTAAATATTATCCCCATCCCAGGGATCCTACAAATTCTCTGGGAAAATGATTCACAAGCCCAGGAGGCTTCCTGGACCTCCATTTGGAGTCGCATCCGGTCCTCTTCCAGCTCCTGGGCCCACTCATCAAAATAACAATATAGCCCAACAAAAATGGTCATAACGTCCAACACCACGACGAGATACATCAATTTCCTGTAGATTTCCATATTTAGATATTTCTTCTATAGTGGAAGCTACGAAAGAAGAGAATAATAATTTATAATATCTCCAGCCACAATAATGGTCAAAATATAATATATGAGAAACATAGTTAACCTCGAATTTTGTTGTTCTGCCCTTGTATATAGTGATGGTGATATATGTGATGAATAGTGATAGTGAAAGATGTATAATGATGGTGAGAGATATTGTGAATAGTGATGGTGACAGATGTGGTGAATAGTGATGGTGATATATGTGATGAATAGTGATAGTGAAAGATGTAATGTATAATGATAGATGTAATGAATAGTGATGGTGACAGATGTGGTGAATAGTGATAGTGAAAGATGTATAATGATGGTGAAAGATGTTGTGAATAGTGATGGTGACAGATGTGGTGAATAGCGAAAGTGGAAGATGCATAATGATGGTAATAGATGTCGTGAATAGTGATAGTGACAGATGTGGTGAATAGTGATGGTGATAGATGTAGTGAATAGTGATATATGTGATGAATAGTGATAGTGAAAGATGCATAGTGATGGTGATATATTTGATGAATATTGATAGTGGAAGATGCATAATGATGGTAATAGATGTTGTGAATAGTGATGGTGACAGATGTCACGAATAGTGATGGTGATAGATGTAGTGAATAGTGATGGTGATATATGTGATGAATAGTGATAGTGAAAGATGTAATGTATAATGATAGATGTAATGAATAGTGATGGTGATATATGTGGTGACACTGGGAGATGAACAAGTCTTGGTGTTTGTACAATTTCATGTAAAAACAATTATAATAAAGTAATAATAATATAAATAATAAATATTAAATAATAATAATAATATAATAATAATAATTAATAGTAATCATTAATACTGTCCTCTTAAAACTCTTACGAGTTTAATGCTCTGATACAAAAAAAAAAACTAATTTTTGATCAACAAAAAGGACTTGACTTAAAGTGTACAAGGTCCTAGGAATCAACCAAAGTTCTATGGGACTTGTGTCTTTGATGTTGACTTTGATCTTGGTAGCTGGGAGGCCTAGACTTGGAGGTAGCATGAACTTTGTAGCAGGGAGGCCTAGACTTGGAGGTAGCATGATCTTGGTAGCTGGGAGGCCTAGACTTGGAGGTAGCATGAACTTGGTAGCTGGGAGGCCTAGACTTGGAGGTAGCATGAACATGGTAGCTGGGAGACCTAGACTTGGAGGTAGCATGAACATGGTAGCTGGGAGGCCTAGACTTGGAGGTAGCATGAACTTTGTAGCAGGGAGGCCTAGACTTGTAGGTAGCATGAACATGGTAGCTGGGAAGTCCAGCCTTGGTGGGAGCAGCAATGGTTTTCACACTACCCAATACCCTTTAGTATTATAATGTTTTAAAACACACTTCTTATTACCCAGAATTTGTGGTTTTCCATGTTGTTGTGCATTCTGGACTGGTGGTTTTACTTTGGGTTTTCCATCATCAATTAATATTTGCTTGTATGCTGGCTCAACTACCATTTTCTGTGGGGTCTCACCTCTTGGACCAGTCAACACATGGCCGTTCAGCATCAGTGCTCGTCTTTCGTAATCCTTATTTTTAAAAATTGCAAAGCCATATCTACGATGACCTCTGCGTCTTCGTGGCATTATGAATTTGATTAAACCGCCGGATTTTTTCAGAAGCTGGTTTACAGTCCTGTACCTGCACAAAGTGGGTACATTGGCTACAAAAACTCCATACCCTGTAGGGTTGGGGATGGTGGGTTTGGGGATGGTCATGGGTTTGGGGATGGTGATGGGTTTGGGGATGGTGATGGGGTTGGGGAGGGTATTGGGGTTGGGGAGGGGTGTTGAGCTACCAGCATCATCAGTGGTAGCAGGTACTAACTCACCACTCACCACTGTGTCACTGGTGCTGGTATGTGTAAGTGACTTGAGAAGTCTGGTACGGAAGAATCGCCAGGTGTAGTACAACACTCCTAACACTGTCACAACAACCCACAGATGAACCAGCATCACTTGGGAGGATGAATTATCCTGGCAGGATTCTTTCATCTCCTTGAGGAGAATCTCCAGCTCCTCAACATCCTTGCTGGCTTGGTACAATCTAAAGATGATTCCCAGAAGAGGCCAGGAGCTTGGTGCCCACCAAGGGCTCACCTGCCTTCCAGGGAGATATAAGGGGGTATAATTATCACAATTAAATATTATCCCCATCCCAGGGATCCTACAAATTCTCTGGGAAAATGATTCACAAGCCCAGGAGGCTTCCTGGACCTCCATTTGGAGTCGCATCCGGTCCTCTTCCAGCTCCTGGGCCCACTCATCAAAATAACAATATAGCCCAACAAAAATGGTCATAACGTCCAACACCACGACGAGATACATCAATTTCCTGTAGATTTCCATATTTAGATATTTCTTCTATAGTGGAAGCTAGGAGAGAAGAGAATAATAATTTATAATATCTCCAGCCACAATAATGGTCAAAATATAATATATGAGAAATATAGTTAACCTCGAATTTTGTTGTTCTACCCTTGTATATAGTGATGGTGATATATGTGATGAATAGTGATAGTGAAAGATGTATAATGATGGTGAGAGATATTGTGAATAGTGATGGTGACAGATGTGGTGAATAGTGATGGTGATATATGTGATGAATAGTGATAGTGAAAGATGTATAATGATGGTGAGAGATATTGTGAATAGTGATGGTGACAGATGTGGTGAATAGTGATGGTGATATATGTGATGAATAGTGATAGTGAAAGATGTAATGTATAATGATAGATGTAATGAATAGTGATGGTGATATATGTGGTGACACTGGGAGATGAACAAGTCTTGGTGTTTGTACACTTTCATGTAAAAACAATAATAATAATAGTAATAATAATAATAATAATAATAATAAATAATAATAATAATAATAATAATAATAATAAAATAAACTTTAATAACTGTCCTCTTATAACTCTTAGGAGTTTAATGCTCTGATAGAAAAAAAAACTCATTTTTGACCAACAAAAAGGACTTGACTTAAAGGGTACAAGGTCCTAGAATCAACCAAAGTTCTATGGGACTTGTGTCTTTGATGTTGACTCTGATCTTGGTAGCTGGGAGGCCTAGACTTGGAGGTAGCATGAACTTTGTAGCAGGGAGGCCTAGACTTGGAGGTAGCATGAACATGGTAGCTGGGAGGCCTAGACTTGGAGGTAGCATGAACTTTGTAGCAGGGAGGCCTAGACTTGGAGGTAGCATAAACATGGTAGCTGGGAGGCCTAGACTTGGAGGTAGCATAAACATGGTAGCTGGGAAGTCTAGCCTTGGTGGGAGCAGCAATGGTGTTCACACTACCCAATACCCTTTAGTATTATAATATTTTAAAACACACTTCTTATTACCCAGAATTTGTGGTTTTCCATGTTGTTGTGCATTCTGGACTGGTGGTTTTACTTTGGGTTTTCCATCATCAATTAATACTTGCTTGTATGCTGGCTCAACTACCATTTTCTGTGGGGTCTCACCTCTTGGACCAGTCAACACATGGCCGTTCAGCATCAGTGCTCGTCTTTCGTAATCCTTATTTTTAAAAATTGCAAAGCCATATCTACGATGACCTCTGCGTCTTCGTGGCATTATGAATTTGATTAAACCGCCGGATTTTTTCAGAAGCTGGTTTACAGTCCTGTACCTGCACAAAGTGGGTACATTGGCTACAAAAACTCCATACCCTGTAGGGTTGGGGATGGTGGGTTTGGGGATGGTGATGGGTTTGGGGATGGTGATGGGGTTGGGGAGGGTATTGGGGTTGGGGAGGGGTGTTGAGCTACCAGCATCATCAGTGTGTAGAGGTACTAACTCACCACTCACCACTGTGTCACTGGTGCTGGTATGTGTAAGTGACTTGAGAAGTCTGGTACGGAAGAATCGCCAGGTGTAAGATACAACACTCCTAACACTGTCACAACAACCCACAGATGAACCAGCATCACTTGGGAGGATGAATTATCCTGGCAGGATTCTTTCATCTCCTTGAGGAGAATCTCCAGCTCTCAACATCCTGCTGGCTTGGTACAATCTAAAGATGATTCCCAGAAGAGGCCAGGAGCTTGGTGCCACCAAGGGCTCACCGCCTTCCAGGGAGATATAAGGGGGTATAATTATCACAATTAAATATTATCCCCATCCCAGGGATCCTACAAATTCTCTGTAAAAATGATTCACAAGCCCAGGAGGCTTCCTGGACCTCCATTTGGAGTCGCATCCGGTCCTCTTCCAGCTCCTGGGCCCACTCATCAAAATAACAATATAGCCCAACAAAAATGGTCATAACGTCCAACACCACGACGAGATACATCAATTTCCTGTAGATTTCCATATTTAGATATTTCTTCTATAGTGGAAGCTAGGAGAGAAGAGAATAATAATTTATAATATCTCCAGCCACAATAATGGTCAAAATATAATATATGAGAAATATAGTTAACCTCGAATTTTGTTGTTCTGCCCTTGTATATAGTGATGGTGATATATGTGATGAATAGTGATAGTGAAAGATGTATAATGATGGTAATAGATGTCGTGAATAGTGATAGTGACAGATGTGGTGAATAGTGATGGTGATAGATGTAGTGAATAGTGATATATGTGATGAATAGTGATAGTGAAAGATACATAGTGATGGTGATATATTTGATGAATATTGATAGTGGAAGATGCATAATGATGGTAATAGATGTTGTGAATAGTGATGGTGACAGATGTCACGAATAGTGATGGTGATAGATGTAGTGAATAGTGATGGTGATATATGTGATGAATAGTGATAGTGAAAGATGTAATGTATAATGATAGATGTAATGAATAGTGATGGTGATATATGTGGTGAATAGTGATAGTGAAAGATGTAATGTATAATGATAGATGTAATGAATAGTGATGGTGATATATGTGGTGACACTGGGAGATGAACAAGTCTTGGTGTTTGTACACTTTCATGTAAAAACAATAATAATAATAGTAATAATAATAATAATAATAATAATAGTAATCATTAATAACTGTCCTCTTATAACTCTTACGAGTTTAATGCTCTGATACAAAAAAAAAACTCATTTTTGATCAACAAAAAGGACTTGACTTAAAGTGTACAAGGTCCTAGGAATCAACCAAAGTTCTATGGGACTTGTGTCTTTGATGTTGACTTTGATCTTGGTAGCTGGGAGGCCTAGACTTGGAGGTAGCATGAACTTGGTAGCTGGGAGGCCTAGACTTGGAGGTAGCATGAACTTTGTAGCTGGGAGGCCTAGACTTGGAGGTAGCATGAACATGGTAGCTGGGAGGCCTAGACTTGGAGGTAGCATAAACATGGTAGCTGGGAGGCCTAGACTTGGAGGTAGCATGAACATGGTAGCTGGGAGGCCTAGACTTGGAGGTAGCATGAACATGTAGCTGGGAAGTCTAGCCTTGGTGGGAGCAGCAATGGTGTTCACACTACCCAATACCCTTTAGTATTATAATGTTTTAAAACACATTTCTTATTACCCAGAATTTGTGGTTTTCCATGTTGTTGTGCATTCTGGACTGGTGGTTTTACTTTGGGTTTTGCATCATCAATTAATACTTGCTTGTATGCTGGCTCAACTACCATTTTCTGTGGGGTCTCACCTCTTGGACCAGTCAACACATGGCCGTTCAGCATCAGTGCTCGTCTTTCGTAATCCTTATTTTTAAAAATTGCAAAGCCATATCTACGATGACCTCTGCGTCTTCGTGGCATTATGAATTTGATTAAACCGCCGGATTTTTTCAGAAGCTGGTTTACAGTCCTGTACCTGCACAAAGTGGGTACATTGGCTACAAAAACTCCATACCCTGTAGGGTTGGGGATGGTGGGTTTGGGGATGGTCATGGGTTTGGGGATGGTGATGGGTTTGGGGATGGTGATGGGGTTGGGGAGGGTATTGGGGTTGGGGAGGGGTGTTGAGCTACCAGCATCATCAGTGGTAGCAGGTACTAACTCACCACTCACCACTGTGTCACTGGTGCTGGTATGTGTAAGTGACTTGAGAAGTCTGGTACGGAAGAATCGCCAGGTGTAGTACAACACTCCTAACACTGTCACAACAACCCACAGATGAACCAGCATCACTTGGGAGGATGAATTATCCTGGCAGGATTCTTTCATCTCCTTGAGGAGAATCTCCAGCTCCTCAACATCCTTGCTGGCTTGGTACAATCTAAAGATGATTCCCAGAAGAGGCCAGGAGCTTGGTGCCCACCAAGGGCTCACCTGCCTTCCAGGGAGATATAAGGGGGTATAATTATCACAATTAAATATTATCCCCATCCCAGGGATCCTACAAATTCTCTGGGAAAATGATTCACAAGCCCAGGAGGCTTCCTGGACCTCCATTTGGAGTCGCATCCGGTCCTCTTCCAGCTCCTGGGCCCACTCATCAAAATAACAATATAGCCCAACAAAAATGGTCATAACGTCCAACACCACGACGAGATACATCAATTTCCTGTAGATTTCCATATTTAGATATTTCTTCTATAGTGGAAGCTAGGAGAGAAGAGAATAATAATTTATAATATCTCCAGCCACAATAATGGTCAAAATATATTATATGAGAAATATAGTTAACCTCGAATTTTGTTGTTCTACCCTTGTATATAGTGATGGTGATATATGTGATGAATAGTGATAGTGAAAGATGTATAATGATGGTGAGAGATATTGTGAATAGTGATGGTGACAGATGTGGTGAATAGTGATGGTGATATATGTGATGAATAGTGATAGTGAAAGATGTATAATGATGGTGAGAGATAGTGTGAATAGTGATGGTGACAGATGTGGTGAATAGTGATGGTGATATATGTGATGAATAGTGATAGTGAAAGATGTAATGTATAATGATAGATGTAATGAATAGTGATGGTGATATATGTGGTGACACTGGGAGATGAACAAATCTTGGTGTTTGTACACTTTCATGTAAAAACAATAATAATAATAGTAATAATAATAATAATAATAATAATAATAATAATAATAATAATAATAATAATAATAATAATAATAATAATAATAAAATAAACTTTAATAACTGTCCTCTTATAACTCTTAGGAGTTTAATGCTCTGATACAAAAAAAAAAAAAAAACTCATTTTTGACCAACAAAAAGGCCTTGACTTAAAGGGTACAAGGTCCTAGGAATCAACCAAAGTTCTATGGGACTTGTGTCTTTGATGTTGACTTTGATCTTGGTAGCTGGGAGGCCTAGACTTGGAGGTAGCATGAACTTTGTAGCAGGGAGGCCTAGACTTGGAGGTAGCATGAACATGGTAGCTGGGAGGCCTAGACTTGGAGGAAGCATGAACTTTGTAGCAGGGAGGCCTAGACTTGGAGGTAGCATAAACATGGTAGCTGGGAGGCCTAGACTTGGAGGTAGCATAAACATGGTAGCTGGGAAGTCTAGCCTTGGTGGGAGCAGCAATGGTGTTCACACTACCCAATACCCTTTAGTATTATAATATTTTAAAACACATTTCTTATTACCCAGAATTTGTGGTTTTCCATGTTGTTGTGCATTCTGGACTGGTGGTTTTACTTTGGGTTTTGCATCATCAATTAATACTTGCTTGTATGCTGGCTCAACTACCATTTTCTGTGGGTCTCACCTCTGGACCAGTCAACACATGGCCGTTCAGCATCAGTGCTCGTCTTTCGTAATCCTTATTTTTAAAAATTGCAAAGCCATATCTACGATGACCTCTGCGTCTTCGTGGCATTATGAATTTGATTAAACCGCCGGATTTTTTCAGAAGCTGTTTTACAGTCCTGTACCTGCACAAAGTGGGTACATTGGCTACAAAAACTCCATACCCTGTAGGGTTGGGGATGGTGGGTTTGGGGATGGTTATGGGTTTGGGGATGGTGATGGGGTTGGGGATGGTGATGGGGTTGGGGAGGGTATTGGGGTTGGAGAGGGGTGTTGAGCTACCAGCATCATCAGTGGTAGCAGGTACTAACTCACCACTCACCACTGTGTCACTGGTGCTGGTATGTGTAAGTGACTTGAGAAGTCTGGTACGGAAGAATTGCCAGGTGTAGTACAACACTCCTAACACTGTCACAACAACCCACAGATGAACCAGCATCACTTGGGAGGATGAATTATCCTGGCAGGATTCTTTCATCTCCTTGAGGAGAATCTCCAGCTCCTCAACATCCTTGCTGGCTTGGTACAATCTAAAGATGATTCCCAGAAGAGGCCAGGAGCTTGGTGCCCACCAAGGGCTCACCTGCCTTCCAGGGAGATATAAGGGGGTATAATTATCACAATTAAATATTATTCCCATCCCAGGGATCCTACAAATTCTCTGGGAAAATGATTCACAAGCCCAGGAGGCTTCCTGGACCTCCATTTGGAGTCGCATCCGGTCCTCTTCCAGCTCCTGGGCCCACTCATCAAAATAACAATATAGCCCAACAAAAATGGTCATAACGTCCAACACCACGATGAGATACATCAATTTCCTGTAGATTTCCATATTTAGATATTTCTTCTATAGTGGAAGCTAGGAAAGAAGAGAATAATAATTTATAATATCTCCAGCAACAATAATGGTCAAAATATAATATATGAGAAATATAGTTAACCTCGAATTTTTGTTCTGTACCCTTGTATATAGTGATGGTGATATATGTGATGAATAGTGATAGTGAAAGATGTATAATGATGGTAATAGATGTCGTGAATAGTGATAGTGACAGATGTGGTGAATAGTGATGGTGATAGATGTAGTGAATAGTGATATATGTGATGAATAGTGAGTAGTGAAAGATACATATGATGGTGATAGATGTTGATGAATATTGATGTGGAAGATGCGATATGATGGTAATAGATGTAGTGAATAGTGATGGTGATATATGTGATGAATAGTGATAGTGAAAGATGTAATGTATAATGATAGATGTAATGAATAGTGATGGTGATATATGTGGTGACACT